TCTGAAGGTACCCTGTGGAGTTTCTGAGCATTGACCTACAGAACTGTTCTTACAAGTGGGTCAGTCTTTTGTTTGCATCATGCACATCGACAAGGACGACGTGCACATTTGGGCTGTAGGTTTTTTATATTACTCCACTGACAGGTGGTGGCTGTAATATGCAAAGAGCTGTTGCAATGTGCCCACAAAGGCACTGAAAATGACTGCAAACCAAGAACATGGGTGTAAACAATGCACGATTTCAACCATTTTAAGTATATACGTTGAAGAAAATATCGTGACACAGATGATTAGGATATACAAAGAAAACTCCAGAGGGCACCTTTAACTTGTAGTATGACTTCAAACTAGTTATTGACATTGTGTTTGGTTTAATTAAAGGCAGTAGGGAGGCCTGCGTTTTCTTAAATTGATCCTACTTGCAGTGTTTTACAGTGCTGACAGCAGAAACAGAGTTTCAGCAACACTTGTGGCACATAGAAGAACTTTATTGTTGACCAATGCCTTTTTGCTTGTGGCTTCGGTCACCCTGACGAAGACCACAAGCTTCAAAGTATGAATCTTACAATAAAGTTGTTCTATAGTCTACAAGTACTGCAGAGATTTTGACTTCCTTCCTGCACTTTGGAAGTCAATGAAGTTGCCAGCATTTCTCTGTTTAGACAGCTGAGAAAGACAGGAATGGGGGGAATGAGAGAAAAAGGGACTGAAAGGCAACAAGAGTCCCGATTTGAACCAAGGATGTTAGATGGGGTCAAATTGGTCATAAAGTAAAAAGCTAGCGAGCATCCTGTTTATGTTGTATGACATTAAGAAAGTCTTTATATAATCAACCTTAAAGCTGAAAACACTTCCTACAACCAGAATCCTTGGCAACTAAACAATAAAAAATGAAAAAAAAAAACAACTAAAAATCACAGTGGACATTCAAAGGTGAAGCACAACGAATCAGAACAGGACATGTCACACGGGGCCAGGACACACCATGCTGGGTCATGCTGCTCTGGGAGATTTATTTAGTGATTTTTCTTTTTTCTGTTGTTTGTTTGTTTGTTTGTTTGTTTTTATTATGTTTTTCACTTGCGCTCCTGTCAGGAGTGTGGTAAATGGGACAGTAAAGCAGCAAGAGTCACAGTTCATCATCATCAGCATCATCATCATCATCATCATCATCATCAGCATCATCATCAGCATCATTATCATCGCTGTCACCACCATTATTATCATCCTCCTTGTGGATATCATAATAATAATTTTCATCATCATTGAACTTTTTCCTTAAGCTAGAAAATGATTTACATCACATTGTTTTTACTGACTTTTGAGACCACAAACATTCCAGCAACACACTCTAGGATTAAGGGTGGGTAACAATCAGAAAAGCATGACTTTTTGCATAGTATTAAATGAACAAAGACATTGAGTTCTTTATTTACAATTATTGTATAGATAAAAAAAATATCATAAAAACAAGATGAACACTTAAATCACTTACCCATAAATGGCTAAGTATGCCAAAAAGTTATCTGTTGGCATTTCTCTTTTTCTTTGTTCCACAAACTGCATGCTGCTAAATACAGTACATCGAGGCAGGTGAGAGTATATTGCAAGAAGTATCATTGATATCATCGTTATCATTATCATCAGCATCATCATTGTCGTCATCATCATCATCATCATCATCATCATCATTGGTGTCATCATCAACATAAGTATCGGTTGTTACAACACGTGTTATGATTCGGATGTAATTAGATGTTTAAAAGTTTCTGACAGGAGCAGTGATTACATACAGCCAAACAGCTGTGTCGGCAGTATGACTCGTTGTGGTGAATGATGGTACATGTAGTCAGGAAGAGTTCCTCGTTTTACACCAGTCCGCATCGGAGTTTCTGTCCTCAGTGGACTCATTGCTGTATTTACGAAGATTATTTTTAAACTTGTTTCTTTGCATCCTCTTAAAGCTGAATGTCCTCCTGGATGTAAAAGTGGTTTGAGAATGTTGGCTTAAGTCTTTTTTTTAAATTCTTATTATTATTATTGAAAATGCTATTGTTATGTTTTTGTTTAGTATTTTTATTTTTTTACAGACAAATAAACAAATAAATTGTCAAGTTAAACATTGGAAAGGAAACAAATTAAATCAACAGCTTCTAAGCAGAATATCAGAATCCAGAATGCTTTTTTTTTCTTTTTTCTTTTTTTCTTCAAACTTAAATAAGAGACAGGTTTTTATTCAAATGGTCCATGTTACTTTTTCAACACACCTGAGCTGACTGGTAAAGCTTCTGCACCCTCTCAAGATGGTCAGATTGGCTGGGAAATGACAGAGGAGGAGGGTATAAAAAAGAAAAAAAAAGAACTGTTTGGATAAATGATTGTATATACTGTAGTAGCGTATAGGATTTTTTCTTTTATGTAGAAAAATCGTGAATTTTCTCAAGTTGCATAATGCGCCTATCACGTCATGCTTGCCAATGACTTCGGTTAGTAATAGAAATAACAATAGTACAGGCTAGTTAGGTGGCCTTGTCCTTCTGAGTGCAATAAGACTGGGTAAATGTGCCTTCTGTATGTAACTTCTCTCTGGTAATGTCTGATTGGTCAAAGCACAATAAATAGTTTACAACTAGTGAGTACAGTTGAGATGCTAGAGTACTGTATATTCTGTGACGGCAGGAAGACAAGCTTGGTTAAAACACACAAAAGCACATCTATAATTACACCACAAAGGTTTTCATTCATAACCAGATAGTGCAGAAAATCTTTTTTATATATATATATAGAAAAAGAGTCAAAGCAACATTCCATTTTTGTTGTAATTTGTCTTTTTTTTTGGTCAGTTTTTCCTTTTTTTTTTTTTTTTTAGATGTTAAAAATGCCAACAGCTTTGTGGGGCTGCGTGTGTCTCTCTGCTAGACGAAAAGAAACTCCTTTAAACAAAAATAAATGAAAATTTAAAAAAAACCAAAAAAAAAAAACCAACACAATATATTCCAAGTTTTAAACCAAAAAGAAAAAAATGAAATAAAATCTGATTTCCGTGCGGTACAGTTACGCCAAATACAACTTCGCAAATTTCTTATATGACTCAACTGCAGCCTTTCGATGGTCACACACATTTTCAAAACATCAAGTCCTTTGAACAAGCAAGTTTATCTAGAAGACAGTTCACTATAAAGGTCCTGATATCAGCCTTTGACTCGAGCCCTGACCCCAGGCCAGTGCTGAAGCACAGAAAGAAAAACAAAACATAATTAAAATAAAGGAGAGAGAAAAGTATTGAACAAAAATAATTAAATATCCCCCTCTGTCACAAAAGGAGGCCTCTGTTTAGAAAAACCAAAGGCAAGCCACTCCAACTTGATCCCAACAATCATATAGAGTAATACTAAGATTCCACATTTACTATGTATCCCATTATATTTTGGTTTCTTTTTGTTGTTAATCCTCTAAAAATATCTACATTATTTGACAAGATAGCAGGCAAATTCCAGCACATGGTTTTTCAGTAATAACACACCAACACAGCTCTGGTCCATCTGAGCGTCAACTTTGCCTCCCTCCTTCTAGAAACCAGGAAGTTTATCTCTATGAGGTTGTAAACAAATTACATTCTCTTTAAGACATAAATAAGTCAAAGTAATTTGAGCCATTGAAGCAGGAACAAGGCAACATGCCAACAAACAAAGATAAACTCTCTCTAAATATATTTATATGTATTTATATTTATAGAATATATCCCATAAATGCTATCATCATTATTATTTTGCGTTCCTCTTTTCTGACAGGTGCAAAACTACTGTGCAAGTTGAGCCCTACCACCTCAGTACACATTTCCGCTTATGGATGAAATAAATTTTTACAGTCGGGTACATGTTCATGCCACACAGAAGAGGAAACTTTGCAGGCCAGGAAATCAGAGAAGCTGTCTTCAAAACTGCAGTCTGCTGCGAAGGCCTTGCCCATCAGAACCAAAGAACTCCAATAAAATTAAAACCCTTTTAAATAAAACTTGGGTAATGTACATTCATGCAGGAGCAACAATAATAATAACAATAATAATCAGAATCAGAATTAGAATAATAACAATGTTTTTCAATTTAATTTAAACTATCATCAGTATTAACAATGTTATTGTTTAGGAGAGGGAGTGTGGGGGGAGTTTAAAGTCTGTCCTGTTTCACGATTTTCACTCCTCAGCAGAGTCTCCCTCCTCATCGTCCTCCTCCCGGTGCCACTAGAGACACAGTTCATACATATGTGCAGTCAGCCGCACGCTTATACAGTACATGCTAACCAGTACAAGCATATAGTCATACACACCACCACGGCTGCCACCATACACATACAACCACAAAAGCAGGATGGCTGTGTAGGTTTTGTGGCTTTGTTGCGCTTTTTTGATTGTATGTTAGTTTGTTTTTCTTTTCACCTTGCCATATTATTTTGATTTTCTCCATTTTGAAAGGAGCTATCAGGGCTCAAGGTTAGGGGAAGTGGGGGGTGGAGGTTGCGGGGAGGTGAGGGGTTGGACATTTTTACACAGGACTGACCCTGTGATGGTTTTGGGGGATCAGGAGGTGACAATTGGGTGAATATTTTGGGGGTGACAAGGTTACAGTTAAAGGTTCTGGAGGAATTCAAGGAGGCGCCCCCCTGGACTGTGAGGGAACAACATTAGAGGTTAGAGCTGAGAGCAGGATCAGGGTTAGAGGCTGGTCTCCAAGCTGTGCAGAGGACTGGCGGGGCTGGAGGAAGCGGCAGATTTACTGGTGTCGATGGTGAGATTGATGCCACTGTCAATGGCGTTGTTGTTCTTGTTAGGGGATGAGGGCTGGCTGGAGTACTTCCTCTTCCTCCGAGCAGAATCATCGTCCGTGTCATCAATGAGGGGGATGTTGGGCGTGGAGTCTTCTATCCTAAACTCAGGGTGTGTCATGAAGTTGTGGATGGATGATCTGGAGTCTGGTTTTTCCAGGCCTTCGTACAGGGAGCTACGGAATGCATTCACAACTCGGATCTGTCGTGGAAAAAAGGGACGACAAAGAAGAAAAAAAAATAATGAGAGGTAACATTAGAGATGAAGTGGAAGGGTTGGACGGACCCTCGGGATGAGAGAAAAGAGTGAGGTTGGAGAAGCAGGGACACAGAAGAGGGAGGGATCTTCTAATTTGAGGATAAGGAGGTGTAGAGGGATAAGAAGGTGACGAAGAAGCAAGAGAGAAGGCAACTGCAGTCTGTGTTCTGCTTTCACAAGATGACTACTGTTCACAAGTCACTCAATTTTGGCGTGCACTAAGGAAAACTGTGAGGAACACAATCGTAAAAAAACACAACAAAATCACACATTTCCAGAAAAACAAATACTAAAGCAACACAAACGCTCGTTGTAAGTATACGCTTTAGTCCAATGTGCTGTATACCTAGAAACAAGCCACGTTAATAAATGGAATGCTCACAGAAAAAATTAAAGGAGAATATCACATGCAAGTTTGAAGAAATCTGGTGGACGAGGTCAGTAAGAAGGAAGGAGGTTAGATCTGAGAGATCCAATCAGGTGGTTTAAAAACTTCTGGAGGTACCAGAACACTGTCTGGGGCAATATCCACACAGACTCTGGATAGGACACACAAACACACAAATATAGCACAGGGTGGGTAAAGCATGGTCCCCAACAGGGCAATGGAGAGAGTCAAGTCTGCATGAGGTTTGGCTCAACACAAGCATTGCAGTGTGAAACTCACAAGAAAACAACACATCCTCAAAAAAAAGAAAAATAAAAAGATGGCATTTAGACAACGAGCAAACACGGCAGGTTAAAATATTATGAACACGGGAACTTAACAGGAGGTAAACACAAACTACATGCAACAAGACAACGGGACAGTGAAGAAGGGCCACACAGACTGCTGACACAAAACACAAGGAGTTGAATATTGAAAAGAATAGTTTTATTGCCAGAGGTCTGACGGTCAAAGCAGGTTCTCAACTCCATGCACATCTAAGTAAACACTCAAGTATAAGTCCCAACCAGCTATGTGACCCTTTATGATGCTAAGCAAGTACCTGTGTATCACTTTATTTAGGTAGAGGATTAGGAGAGGGTGCTGTTTTGGAAAAAAAACAAAAAAACAAAACTTGTTTGCACGTGCAGTATCGTCAACATGTCGAAATTTAGGACGTAGAGGACTAATTTGATGTCTTAAAATATAATACTTGATGTTTTATAGGAAACTCGATCATTTCAACACTCTGAGCTGGAAGTTTAAAATCCAAATGTTGTTTAGTTTATCTCAGTGCCACTGTAACACATGATCTAACAGATATTGATCTACAAATTCGCTTCCAAAATCTTTCCTATTGCAAAACTAGATGTATAGAATAGCAGACACATGTATTTAGGTTGATGAAATAATCATTACTAGTGTTGTTATTTTTTATGATTAGTCTACAATATACCTAAAAATAGTCCAAAATACTCATCAATATTTTCACAATTAAAGACATCATCTTGAAACTGCTTCTTTTGCCTAATCAACAATTAAAAACCCAAATATAACCACTTTAAAATGATTACAATCAGAGAAAACAGTGAATCCTCACATTTCCAAGGCTATAAACCTTTAAAGTTCTGTATTGTTGGTTGATAAATTACTTAAGTATTTTTAGAAATAATGAGAAACAGTTTTCTCATTGATCCCATTGTCGCTGAATATTTTAAATCCAAATTGCAATACAATATTATATAGTATAGACTTTTCCAGTTTTATGGGGGGTTGTGCTAAAAAAAAAAAAAAAAGTGCTACTTTCAACTTCTATTAAACTACAGGTCTTAATAGTAATACATTGTGCAACCCAGTGCATTTCTTACTTTGAAAAATAACCATCACATGACAGGTCAAAAATGCAGAAAATTTTTTAAAAAGATATTAGATTTGAAAACGTATGAGAATATTTTATATGTTGTACATATTGTAGTACTGTCAGAACAGGGTATAAGGAGACGAAACAGATAAAAAAAAATAATAAGAGGAGCCTGTCTGGATGAGTACATGTGACAGGATGTCTGACAAGTAACACTGATGGGGTGTCAGAGAGGGGAGGGGAGCTGAATTTACGTTGCTGGTGCTGCAGAGGATCTTTGTTCGTAACTATGGCAACATGACAGTCAACTACACCGACAGTATGAAGCGACAAGACGGGATGAATTATTGGCACAGTGCCGCCTTATGGTGGTTCTCCTGCCCCTCCCATTCCAGTCCACACATCCTAAGCACAGAGGTTCATTTGATTTTCATCAAACAAGTACAGATTAAATCAAGACAGAGGATTGTGTACACTTGTGTGAGAGAGAAATATACTGCTCAAAAAAATAAAGGGAACACCTAAACAACACAATGTAACTCCAAGTCAATCACACTTCTGTGAAATCAACCTGCCCAGGTAGGAAGCAACACTGATAGTGAATCACTTTCACCTGCTGTTGTGCAGACGGAACAGACAACAGGTGGAAATGAGAGGCAGTTACCAAGACAACCCCTATAAAGGAGTGGTTTGACAGATCATGTCTCTGTTCTCATCCTTTCTGGCCATATTTTGGCCACTTTCTCATTTTGTCAGTGCTCTCAGCCCTAGAGGTAGCATGAGGTGATGTCTACAACCCACAGAAGTAGCTCAGGTAGTGCAGCTCATCCAGGATGGCACATCAATGTGAGCTGTGGCCAGAAGGTTTGCTGTGTCTCTCGGCACAGTGTCCAGAGCATGAAGGATAAACCAGGAGACAGGCCAGTACATCAGGAGACATGAAGGGGGCCGTAGGAGGCAACAACCAGGCAGCAGGCCCCTTTACCTCCTCCTTTGTGCAGGAGGACCAGGAGGAACACTGCCAGAGTCCTGCAAAATGGCCTCCAGCAGGCCACTGATATGCATGTTTCTGCTCAAACTGTTAGAAACAGACTCCATGAGGGTGGTATGAGGGCCACATCGTCCACATCGTGGGACTTGTGCTTACAGCCCAGCACCGTGCAGGGCGACTGGCATTTGCCAGAGAACACCAAGATTGTCAGATTGGCCATTGGTGCCCTGAGCTCTTCATGGATGAGAGCAGGTTCACACTGAGCACATGTGACAGACGTGACGAGTCTGGAGACGCCGTGGAGAACGTTCTGCTGCCTGCAGCATCCTCCAGTATGACCGGTTTGGCGGTGGGTCAGTAATGGTGTGGGGAGGCATCTCTCTGGAGGGCCACACAGCCCTCCACGGGCTAGCCAGAGGTACCCTGACTCCCTGACTACCATTAGGTACCAGAATGAGATCCTCAGTCCCACTGTGAGACCATATGCTGGTGCAGTGGGCCCTGGGTTCCTTCTGATGCATGACAGTGCTCGGCCTCATGAGGTTGAAGTGTGTCAGCAGTTCCTGATGATGAAGGCATTGATGCTATGGACTGACCTGTCCGTTCCCCAGACCTGAATCCAATTGAGCACATCTGGGACATCATGTCTTGTCCCATCCACCAACGCCACGTCTCACCACAGACTATCCAGGAGTTGACTGATGCTTTAATCCAGGTCTGGGAGGAGATCCCCCAGGAGAACATCCGCTGCCTCAGAATGCCCAGGTATTGCAGGGAGGTCACACAGGCATGTGGATACCACACATGCTACTGAGTCTCATTTTGACTTGTCTTGAGGAATTTCCACTGAAGTTGGATCAGCCTGTGATGTGATTTCCACTTTCATTTTGAGTATGATTCCAAATCCAGACCTCCATGGGATAATAATTCTGATTTACATTGATCATTTTTATGTTATTTTGTTCAGCGCATTCCACCATGTAAAGATTTTCAACTGGAATATTTCATTCATTGAGATCTAGGATGTATTATTTTAGTGTTCCCTTTTTTTGTTTTTTGAGCAGATAGAAGATGGAGGTGGACAAAAGCATTATTTAGAATTGCTGATAATAACACTGCCCCCTTGTGGGCTATTTTAGTTTTGGGATCCCCTTTTGAATTAAAACAAACACCTGTCTTTATGGTATTTTAAGCTACATATAACGCAGCTTCCTTAATGTTTTCTTGCCATTGCAGATGATGTGTCAGCTGGAAAATACATGAATTAGCAGTTAAAATGTGCTATATCTCAAGTCAGTCCGTGTGATTTGCCACATCAGCAGCGAATTCACAGATAAAAAGACATTGCAACTTATACTTGAATGTTACCCAGTCCCTTGGTGAGTTGATTGGAATTAGCTCACACCAATGTCTGTCAAGACATTAAAATGAGAGACTGAGGGATGGGATGACAGATCGGAGGGATGAGCAGAGGGAGACAAACTCACAACCTGAAATGTCACGCCGTGGGTATCACCCTTAGTCCTGCGCTCCTAGCACTCTGAGGAAACAAACACACATTCACCAATGAGAGGACAGTACACCCAACCATGGGAGGAGATATCAAGATGAATTTGAAATCCAGTATGAACAGCAAAAAGAGAGAAAATTAAAAAAAAGACAAAAAAAAGGCAGATAGCAAGAGAGAAAATCTTCAGAGATGCCAACCTCAAAGTGGAGACTGCTGTGGTAATTTGTTTGAAAAAAAATATTAAGCAGAAAAATAGAGCTTTTTTGTTTATGACAGGATGGCACCCCTGAAGCAAAGAGAGCAGAGAAGAGAGAGCAGAGACAGAGTTCTGACTCACGGCCAGTAGTGGGAGGAGCAGTAGCAGCAGTAGTGCTTGTAGGAGAGGAAAGGGCATTGGACAAGGACACGTGACTAGGACTAGAAACATTGGTTACATCCTGGGTCTGGCTGGTGGTGGATGATTGGCGTCTCAGAGCCCCCGCCCCCTGAAAGGAGGTGCCACTCTTGAAGGTGTTGACTACTTCAATCTGTGGGAGGAGAACGGGACAGGAGAGGACAAATGGCTGCTCAGAGTGACACAGACCAAATGGTAACACAGGTTGACTGGCTGGGTGACTTTGGTGGCAAAAGGGAATACAGTGTCTCAGTCATGACACGATGGGGGGACAGCTAAAGGTCAGGGTGTAGTATCCCCACAACAACATGGTGAATTTGACCTAAAGGGTAGTTTCACCCAAATTAAAAAAAGAGGAAAAACATCTGCCGGTAATGGCAGCCATGGAGACAGTTCACGGTTCACTTGACCAGTTTGTCAGAATTTCTCCCCCCAGTAGAAGTATTTTGTTTGCAGCAAAGAAATTTTGAATTTATTTATTTATTTATTTTTTAACTTTTCCCAAAATTTAACAGCCAAGATTTTTCTCCTTGAACAATGTCTCATTTACTGTAAACAATCAAAAGAAGTACCTGTAAGCAGTTTGCATTGCAAGTATTCTCTACCAAGGAAACTGCAGGTAGTAAATTTGGTGGATTGCAACACAGAAAAAAACAACAACATCCATTTACCTGATTTGTGTTTTATTGTATTGGGTACCTGAAAGGAGCTTGGGCAAACAAAACTAAACTATCTACATGGTTACCTGCCATGACAGGTAATTAAAAATCATGAGTTTTTCTGTAATTTGGGTGAAGCAATCCTTTAAAAGGACTAGCCAATATTAGATTTTAAAATGTACAGATGCAGCCAAATACATCATCTAATACACAGTGATTCATCTGATCGTCACACAATCTCATTTGGGTGTTTACTTACAAAACTGAAGCCAAAGTTGTAACAAATTGTACTTTTTCTTTAATACTGAAAATCCTTCCTTGCCAATTCATCACAACTCTGGGCTCAGACGTTTTTTGTTTTTTTTTTGGTAAACAATCTCTTAACTCCGTTTGGCTGTGTCTGTAAGATACTGGTCCATGGTATCATTTCGTGGGATAGCTTCACCCAGGACCACCAGTGACACATCAATGAAATGAAACCACAGAAGTTATCTATCTGGAATATCACAGTGATACCGGTCTGCAGAGGTCATCACAGCGGCAACAGTTCAGTTACTAATTTCACTTGTATTTAACTTTGAGGTTTGACTGTCGATCTTCCAAAGGTCCACAAAGCTGATCGCCACTGTCCAGTGAGGGAAAGCTGCATCTTCATGTTCCTAAATAAGTAATCTTGAGATAAAATGACTTTAAGACTGTGACTGACTACCATGGACAACATGCAACATAGTCTAACGTGGTAAGCTTTACAAGTTATGTCAGAGGTGGAGCAACCTACACAGACAGACATACAATAAAGGAAAAGGTCATTTCAGAAAACATAGATGAAATGTTTACCGCTTAGTGTGTATTGCTGCTAGCTGAATAACTGAATTTTACAAAGAAAGCCTAGACCTGTTTACTATAAATCTCAACTGATATCTACGATTTATATACACTTTTTAGGTCATATCAATCCAGTAAACTCACAACAAGAGGATTAAACTGTGCCTGTCACATGTCCTCACCTGAGTCTGAATGCGGTTGAGTCCTCTGAACCAAAGGATCTGTCCTCTCCTTAGCTCCCTCTCTGCGTGATCGATCTCCTCATTTTCTTCATTAACGTCCTCCTCTGGTAACTCATCTTTCTGAGTTAGCTGGCCCGCCCGCCGCAGGAAGCGCAACCTGCTATTGGGTATGGTGGCTATCACCTAACCCACAGGGAAGACAGAGTACTGTGTCAAAAGGAAATCCGCAGCGTGTCTGTAGACTAGAATAAAAGAAAGAAAACTAGCAAGGACTACCAAAAGACTGAGAAACACATGTGCTTGCTTGTTACCTGTCCCCACACAAGCTCTCCCAGCCCGAGGAAAACACACCACATCCACTTTTCCAAGTCCAGAGGCTGACAGCTGAATGGCTTTCCTCCAAACTGCACAATTACAATCTACACAAGGCACACCATAACCGATGAACATGCAGACTCCAGAAAATGCCTTTCACTTACTGCATTTATTACAAAAAACATAATTTCTTCAATTGCTTTAACATCCATAGTATGACAGTCACGAGCAAAAACTGAGTAATTAATACAATCAAGTGATTTTCATTTGCTCACCTGTACAGCAAATGTGCCAAAAACAATCGTGCAGAAAATGGGGTTCCTGAAGATACCATCAAAGACATTCCTCTCCCCGTGGATTTTGCGGGCATTTATCTCATTAAACAACTGCATCATGACAAAGGTGTTGAAGATGATGGTGTAGTGCTCAGAGGGAGGAGAGTGGAGAGGAGCATTACGGCCACTGTCAATGTCAAAGATCTGCTCACCTACAGGGGTAGAAAAAAAAGGAGGCAGTTTGACGTCATTAACTCTGGACCTGTACAGTGTCATGTCATCACAGCAGAGCAAAACTGACTGTACGTACCAACAAAGAGCAGCGTAAAGATGATAACGAGCTGATAGACTCCATGTCCGAGGATGTTCTTTGTCATTGTGCTGGAGATCAGAGGCTTATTGCGACCGTATGGCTTCCTCTTAAGCAGAGACTCCGTGGGAGGCTCTGTCGCCAGGGCCAGAGATGCAAAAGTATCCATGATGAGATTCACCCACAACATCTGCACTGCTTTCAGAGGGGAGTCCTGGTAAAATGGACCAGAAACTGTCATTAAGAACCACTAACTTTATTTCAAAAAGTAACTAGTAACAAGCACATTGGCTTTTGTGACTGAATTAACTTTATTCCCAATCAAATAGTATGTTTATCTTCTAATTAAAGGCATTGTTTAGCTTCTTTTGCTAGAAATTCAATAAATTATTCCATTCAGGAAGATGTTTCATTTTAGCAACATCTGTTATATGTGTTTCAAACATTCACACAATAGAGGTCCGTTAAAGTTGTTCATACAAATAGCTGCTCATACAGACTTTTGAATCCCTCTGACCTGTGTGATGCAGGCGCCAGTGAAAGCCACTATGACGGCCACAACATTGACAGTCAGCTGGAACTGAAGAAATTTGGAGATGCTGTCGTAGACGTTTCGGCCCCACATGACTGCCTTCACGATGCTGCTGAAGTTATCATCGGTAAGAATAATATCTGACGCCTCCTTGGCCACATCTGTACCAGCGATACCCTGGAAGAGCAATGACAAGCTGCAATTTAGAAAGAAACCCAGCTTTTTGATTTCCCAGCAAGCTTAACTGATGATATACTTCATCAAACTGCATCATCATAACAGCAGAAATCTGTCTCGATCAATTCCGCAGTCACCGGACAAAACTGGACTCTAGACATGAGTCAGCTCTGATGACTGGTAGTAATGAAGACTAATTAGGGAGTCTGTGCGTGATCATGGGACGAGCAGGACGCTCTTTTTACATACTGCCATATTTTGTACGTGATAATATAAGGATGTAACATTTGCGTTTATTGATGAAAGTGGAAAAACATACTTATGAGGACATCTGTGTGAGAGTGCTTCACTTAATAAACCCATGTAGAGTGTTTCAGCAGGCTTGAAATATCAGCCTGAGGCCTGAGGCAATGTCCTCCGATTAGAGTCCATGCATGCACGTACGCACACACTCACATAGAAAACTCATTTTGCACTGAATCATGAAGAAACACACTGGACATGGTCAGCCTAGTAAGTACCACCTTACACTTTGTACCAGAGATTGACAACCAGGGATCAGAGTTAGGGGCATCTGTAATTACCTAGCGAGGTGGTAAAATGGCTTTGACAGGCCTCCCAAAAATAGTCAGTTATAAAATTGCATACTGTGACTCAGAGCATGTGAAATGTAGTTCTCTAAGTGTGCAGGAATCAAAATGCAGAGTAAATGTAAGGGATAAATGGTGAAAGTATCCAGTTTTAACAGGAGGATGAACCACATTAATAAACAGCGAAGGGAAGCAGAAATAGAGGCAAAAAAATAGAACACAGAAAATATATATCAAGTTAGAATTTACAATTAAAAGAGTCAGAACTTTGTTCATTTTTAAAATTTTAAATAGTCAGAGGAATCTCCTGCAAGGAAACTGTGTGACCAAAGAAATCCACTAGGGGGAGCTACTGATCTACATGCCAGAGGCATGCTCAGAGTGCCTGAGGGAAAAAAAAACCCCTAACTACTGCAGAGGTGAAGAGGACCTCTGCAGATTTTGACTGAGATCAGTCATAGAAGAATGCAACAAAGAAAGAAAAAGCCATAAACTAACAGCCAAACAAAAACAGGGTTGTTTACCATGGCAAAGCCGACATCAGCTTTCTTTAGAGCAGGTCCATCATTGGTCCCATCTCCTGTCACAGCCACCACCTGCCTCTGGTCTGCCATAGTGCTGTCAATAATGCCTGTCACAAACACATGTACACATAAACATAGCAGCATATGCAGTAGTGTACACACATTGATCTCTGTATGCAAATCACAAGAACATCAGTTGATGTAAGTTGATCTTACAGAGAATAATGTGAGAAAATCTAAATTTAAAATTCAACAGTGATGAATCAGAGTAAAAAACAATTCACCTTTGACGAGGGTGTGTTTGTCAGTTGGGGATGATCTGGCCAGGACTCTAAGTTTGGGCCAAACTTTGTCAATACGCTCCTGTTCCACCTGTGCATGCACAAGAACGTCCACAGAAACAGAAAAGTGGTTGCAGTTTAGGTGTTTGTCTTTTTTCGTCTCAACTTTCCTCTCTCACCGTCTCTCACACTGGCATACCTCTCCTTTCTCATTGCGGATCCTCCTGTTGAACTCTTTGCCGTCGATGCAGAGGAAGTCCTCTCCGGGGTGGATGATGCCGCACTTGATGGCTATGGCCCTGGCTGTGTTTATGTTGTCTCCTGTCACCATACGCACCGTGATGCCTGCACGCTGGCACTTCTGAATGGCATCAGGCACCTAAATAGTGATAAACACAAATGCAAAATGATTTAGTACAACTGAGGGGTATGTATTTAACATGACACACACACACACACACACACACACACACACACACACACACACACACACACACACACACACACACACACACACACAACTAGTATTTAAAATAACTCATAATTTAAACAACATTTTATTTTTTCACTTTTGGCTAGTAGAAGAAAGCTTGAACATTTTACTGACATATCATCACCTTATAAGTTGATTTAGCAAACTTTTTAGTTGAACGTTGCCTTCTGATATTTACAGCAGACACAGAGGCACTTATCATTCATTACGCTATTCATTTGAAGTTTCTTTTTTGTCCACTAGATGAATGCAAGTTTTCTAGTTGTTTCTTTGGTTTTGGTCTCCACCATCTCCTGAGGATAAATATAATAACTCTGTCTGTCTGCCATTTTGGGGTTACAAGTGCTTTATTACTGAAAAGAGCTGTCTGCTGATAAACACAAACAATGATTTACATACTACCATGAACTGAGAGGAACTGCCTTAAGAATGACCCCTTTTGCACACACACACACATCATGTGATTGTTAATATACACATATTTAATATAGTAGCTTTAAACACTGCAATACCTGACAAAACACACACACACACACACACACACATAAGGGGACACACATACAAAATCTCCATCATATTTCATTTGATCATAATAGAATTTTGCTGTCTTTATCATTTAAAAACAAATGTATTCACTAGATGCATAATGAAGTATTTTTTTTATCAAAGTTCTTTTCTTTTAGACAGAAGTCTAGTAGATTAACAGCGAGATATTAGCATATGGAGATTGATCTGTGGTAGAAGTAGCGAGTGAATGCAGAGTATTAATTCAGCAACACATCTTCTTGCAGGCAAAGGTCAGTGTGGGCAAGCTGTGCTCTCTCCAAACCCACACATAAACAAATGTGTGCATATACAGTGACAACAAATACAATGAATTTACACAGACATGCAGGCCTACACTCCATGTTTCTCTCTCTTATGCACACACACACACACACACACACACACACACACACAGATAGGAAGGTGTATACTTTCCACTTCACACTCATAGACACCTCTTGTGCATACACATGGGAGCATGTTTGTACTTACAAACACACAAATGTACACACCCACACAGACACACCATGCAGCATAGGATGGAAAACCAAACAAATGTGCCAAAGTATTGTATGTTAAATGAAGCTGCTCGTGTATGAGCATGAAGGAATTAACTCATTTAAAGGGAGCAGATTACAAAGAAAATCTATACAGCGAAAGAGTGCAAGTCTCAGATGAGCTGGAGGTTGAACAAACAGAAACATGACTGTAGCCTGCATAGGAATTAAGGTCAGCAGCTGCTACAAAAGGTAATTATCATTCTACATAGTAAAATGTACAATAACAGTAACACAAGTGGAAAAAATAGTAATAATAATAATAATAATAATAATAATAATAATAATAAGCAGTGCAAATGTAGATATATACATACATA